GCCCATAAGAACTACATAAACATTAACCAAGTTAGATTAAAAAAAAAATAATCAACTTGCTTTGAAATCATACCCAAGCTGAGCGCGCCAACTCATTGCATCAGTCCAAAGGGCAAACGTCATGTAATTCAAATTGCTCCTCTGGATAGTGTTTTTGTTGTCATATCCAATGGCATGCTGGATGGGACACTGTTCAACTGGAAGTTTCACTAAACTGGTGTTGAGCACTATTAAATCATCCTAATAGCTGTGACTTATGGACCGGAAGAGTCAGTAAACAAACACAATGTAAGTGACAGTATGAAAACAGAGTAACTGTAATTAGTGATGCGACTCCATGAGTAATAGCTAAGTTACCTTGACCTAGTTGATGGCAATAGCAAGAACGACTTTAAGAAAAAAAAAATTGATCTCAAATGAGTAGGACTTCTGTATGATTAGTATATTACCAAGACTTTTTCACGATCATTGACAGCATCTGTGGCCACCCTGAATGCGATTTTTCCGGGACACTGCTCATCCTTGACCGAGACGCCCGCACCTCCCTCAGGAAGCGCAGCAGCAACCGTGGCCACCACGTTTGCGACGCCCAAAAGCCTCAAGGGAGATAAGGGCTGGCAGCGCTTCCCTGGCACCACCCCTGCGGCCGGGAGCCGCGCGACCCCAGGCAGAGGCCGCTCTGGAGCAGGGGCTCCCAAACCCCGCGTCCCTCTGGCCTGCCACGCTGCCCAGCTGCTTCTGCTTGTGCCTTCCGGCACAGTGTTGGCTGGGCGGCTGCACCAGTTCCAGTATTTTGCACACAGGGATACAAAGAAATGTCGCTGTCCTACCCTACACTGGTGTCCCTGCACCTCTACCCTGTGCTGCCCTAGCTCCGGTGCCAGCACAGCCACTTCACAGTGTGAAGACTGAGAGCAGGCTAAAACCAAACCTGATGCGTCTGCGCATGGTTTTGCTGTTTGCAATCAGACCACGTATGATTTGCTCTTCTGGTTAAAGGGGAAAAAAAATCTAAAACAGAAATCACATTTAATGCACAAGTAGGAAGCTTTCGGTATATACAAGTAAAAAAAAAAAATCCTATCTGAGAAAAATACCAGACAGACACTACACCAATCTACAAGCTGCTCTCTGACAGTTCTTGGTAAGTCCTGATCATATCCAGGATTATAAAAAATGACAAAACAAGTGCAAAAAAGCTCGTGCACACGGTCAGGGCCCTGCGGGCGGGCACCTGCCAGGGCCCCCTTCTTTCGAGGCGCTGGAGCGGCCAGTTCCCCGCGGAGCCGCA